GGAGTCCCCATCCTTTAAAAACATGTAAAAGGCCCTGGCTGGCGTAGCTCAGTGGACTGAGCGCGGGCTGCAAACCAAAGGGTCACCAGTTCGATTCCCAGCCAGGGCACAGGCCTGGGTTGCAGGCCAGGTCCCAGTGGGGGCCGCCTGAGAGGCAACCACACATGGATGTTTCTCTCCTTCTCTTTCTCCCTCCCTTCCCCTCTCTCTACAAATAAATAAATTAAAGAGAAAAAAACAAGATAAGGCCTTCCTTATCTTGCAGAAGCTACACGAACTCCCTGTGAAAACCCAGTGCAGAAAAGAGCACCAGAGGAGGGGAGACTCGGGCCCCACCTCACCCCAAGTCCCCCCCGCTGCTGCTGCCACTGCTGCTGCCGCTGCTGCTGCTGCTGCTCGGGCCCCTTCTCCCGACACCCGCCCCGGAGCCCGCACACCTGCGACCGCAGGCGGCCGCCTCTCTCCCGACGGCGCCGGCTCTTTCCGTCCACGCTACGCTAGTGGCGCGTCAGCAAGCGCAGCCCCCGTTTCCCGTGGCTGCGCGACATGTCACAACACGGGGGACCCTCTCTCCGAGTGATGTCAGGTGTGTAAGCCTCCCGGGCGGCACCCCGCCTTCCGCCGCAGCTCGTTGGCACGGCCCGAAGTGTGGGCAGCGCCCGCCCCTTTGTCTGGGCCGGCAGCGCCAGCGGCCCTCTGTGAGGAAGGATGAAACGTCTCTCCTTCTTGGCTTACGATCAGGGGCCGTAGGGTGTGTGCTTCCGACCAGGTTGCTTTCGAGACCAGAAGGCGGAGCCGGCAGTAATTCTGCCGCCCAACAGGCCGAAGGGAGGGGCGGCCCGGGCGGGCGCGCCAGGGGTCTGGCCCACCTGGGGGGAGCGTGAGGGGGCTTCTGTGAAAGGCCCGTGAGCAGGTGGGCAGGCCCGAGCCAGGGTCGTGGGGGTGGGGTGATGGTTACGGCCGTCCCTGGTCCCCACCCCCAAGCCTGAGTCGCCAGCCACGCTGGCGTTTCTCCACCGTTGGAGGCGGCGAACACCGGGCTTCCCCGATCTTCCCCATCCAGCCGTGTTCCTGTGCGGTGACCCGTCCGTCCGTCCGTCTGTCCGACCGTGCACCGCGCTCCCCGCCCGTTGCCGGCGGCCCCAGAGCAGAAGCACGCGTTGGCGCCGAGAACGGGGGCCCGGTGCGAAGGTGTCCGCCCAGATTTGGGAGCGAGCGAGGGAGTGAGCCAGTGAGCCAGCGAGCGGATGAGGGAGGGAGGGGTGGCCAGGACCGCCCTCTCGGCGGCTGGACTTCCTGGGCCAGGCACCCGCTGGCCCTGGTGCACAGGTGTTCCCGCCGACCCTCACGGCAGTCCCATCCCACCACGAGGAAAAGGAAACCGGGTCTCGGACAGGTAAAGCCCCCTGACAGGTGGGGAGTGGCGGGGTCGCCCCGTGACCCAGGTCTGGCCGACCCTCGAGTCACGAGTGCACACGGACAGGGCACACCCTTCCCTCCCCACCGGCCGCTCGCTCCCCTGGGAGACCCCAGCACCCCTGGGGGGTGGCGCGTGAGCCCAACGCTGCCAGGCACAGAAGGCGCTGCCCCCTGCCCCCCAGAGATCCGTCCTCCCAGGGCCGGGAAGCCAGGAGTCCACGTCTCGTCCCCCAGCGGGAATTGGGGCTGCTCCCCGACAGTTCTCTCTCGTTTTGGGGTCTGCCCCCTCCACGAGCCCCCAGGCCCCCTGCCCCATGGCTCCTGGACCGGTGAACTTGGGGCCGTGGAACCTGACGTAGGCTGCGACCCTCAAGAACTCCATTTTCAGTTTCATGGGAAACTGAGGCCCAGGGAGGTCCGGTGGCCGGCCTGGCCCTCCGAGCTGGCTGGTGGCCCAGCATAAACGTCCTGGCAGAAAGGCCACTCGCCAGCTGTCAGCTGGCCCTCCCCTCTGGGCACCGGCCACCTGTGGCGCCTGCTGGTCACAGAGACCAGGAGTGGGGCGCTGGGGGAGGCGGCAGCCTGAGTCTCCGGGGATCAGGGCGCACTGCCCTGTGGGGGGGGGTCATTTCTGGGTCCCTCCGGGGCTCACGACCCCGTGAGGGCCCAGCGGTTGGCCGGGCTGCCCGGGGGGGCTGGGGCGGCGCTCTGGGGGAGCTGGCCGAGCCGTGTGGAAGCCAGCTTGCTCGGTGGCGATGACCCAGCCCGAGGAGCGCCCGCGCCTGCCCGCAGCTTTTCCGTGTGAAAGGTGTTTAATTATTTCTGACAGAGTTCAGCCTCGACATCTGTTCGCGAGCGGGGAGAGTTCATTTAGGTTATCCATCACTGTGACAGGTTCCACTTTTTTGGAAGTGCTTTTCCCTTTCATAATGGGGCCAGGGCGGGGAGGGGTGGGCGGGGGATCTGCGGCGGCAGGACCCGAGTGGAGGCAGACAAAGGCCCTCCGGGGGCGGGGGGGGGAGCCCCTGAGGCCTCTGTGGGCGGAGGCCGCCAACCCCCGCCGGCCTCTGGGTGCAGACCCGGGCAGCGGTCCCCGGGGCGGGGCCGGGCAGTGGTGCGCTCGGCGTGGAGGCTGTGAAATGTTCCTGTCACTCATTCATTCACCCGCCTCTTCATTCATCCCACAGGCACCTGCTGACCGCCCGCTCGGTGCCCGGCTCTGTGCTGGGCTCTGGGGACGTGGCGGGGCATCTGGCAGGGGACGTGGCAGGGGACGTGGCGGGCATGGTTCTGACGGGGGTCACGTTTTACTAGGAAAGAGGGACGTGGAATGACCAATGGCTCAATCAGGCGCTTAGTTAAAGCAGGGATGGTGCTGTGCAGGGGGAGAAAGGAGCCTGTCAGGGGGAAGAAGGGGCACCCTGGGGAAGGGGTCCCCAGGAGGCCTCCCCACGCAGCCAGGAGAAGAGGCTTAGGCAGCCCTGGGCCGAACCCGGGTCCCCTCCCCCCAGGGCTAGGCCCTCCCCTCGCGGAGCCTCCCTCTCCTTGTCGGTAGGACGGGGACACCGTGTCTCTGAGAGCCTGCCCGCCAGCACGTGGCGCTCGGTAATTTCCCGTCAGTGGGGGGACTGAGCGTCGTGAGGGTCGTGGCCGCAGCGCTCTGTGGGTCTCCGGTCCGCGCTGGGCTGCAGCCGGCGGCACCCAGGCACGTGCCAGTCTCCGAGGGTCCTGCGTGGAGCTCCCAGAGTCCCGTGAGCGTCCCCGAAACGGTGAAAAACCCCCTCTGACCCCTGTGTTGGCGTTCCTAGTCTCTTCCTCGTGGTTTCTGCGGCACAATGGGTGGCGTGTCCGGCCTGGGCCCTGCCGTCATGGGGCCTCGGGCTCCGGGCCCAGCCCCCGGCGGGGCGGGGACGGGTGAAATGCCCGGTGCAGCGTTAGGGGCTGGCGCACGCCGGGTGGCTGCCGTGGCTCGTGGCGGGATTTTGAAACAGCAGGGCGAGGACTGGGAGAGGCCGGGCACGGCTCCGTCACGGCTCCTCCTTGGAAGACAGAAGCTCATCGGCTTCTTTCTGCGTTGGGGGCCGGGCCCGTGGGGGTGCGGTGGGCAAGACAGGCGTTCCCACCACCGGGGAGGCTCCATGACCTGGGGTGGGGGCCTTGTCCGGGTGCCGCTGCGGGAGACCCCCGCCCGCGCGCCCCTCTGTCCATCGCCCTGGAGAGACCAGGCAGGTCCGGAGTCAGAGACGCAGCTGAGAGGCTGGGGGCCGATGCCGTGCAGCAGAGAGCTGAGCGGGGCGCCCCTCGTCCGAGGAGCCGGGAGCCCCGTCCCCGGGCAGCACCCGCCCTCTGACGTCAGGACCCCCACCCACAGGTGTGCGGGGAATCGGAGCGCCCAGAGCCAGGAGGAAAGGCCGCAGGAGGAGAGGCCGGGGAGGAGAAGGTGAACGGGAACCTCGGAGAGGGCGGGAAAGGGGCGGAGGGCCGTGGCCACGCCGGCAGGAGACCGGAGAGACGAGGAACCGGAGCCGAGCGCGGCGAGGGTCAGGGCAAGCGGGCGGCACGGCGGCGCCCCCTGGCTCCCGGTGCCCCCCCACCCCACCCCCGAGATCGGCCAGTCACGCTCCTGCGCGCGGGGGCGGCGCGGCTGACGGGCGCGGGCAAACGGCCACTGACGTGCGCTGACAGGAGCCACTGGGCAGGACGCGAGAGGCCGCGCGGGCGTCTGTGGCGAGGATCGGCGGCCTGTTCGGTCGCATTAGGCTCAGGAAGCCACCGGCCCTTCATTGTCTAAATTGCAGTTTAACTCCAGGTGGCGGCTGGGTCTGGCCGGCCAGGGGGCCTGCTTCGTGCGACCGTCCTCCCGGGGCTGCGAGTGCCCGCCGTGGCCCCTGGAGAGGCTCCGTGGCCGCAGCTGGGCACGCCCAGCCCGAGCCCCATCCTGAAGTTGCTGTTGCAGACCCCCCAGGTTCCCTCCTCTGCACAGCGCCCCGGCTCTTACGGGGGGCCCCGTCTGGGGGCCCACTGCAGGGCTAACGGCCGAGTGAACCCCACTCAGTTCCGGAGCGTCATGGCTGCTGGGTGTCTTGGGTGCCTGTCGCACCCACACGGCCGCCCCAGGAGACATTTGCTCCCGTCTCCCGAGGGCGCCACCCTGTGGGCGGTTAACATAGAGCCACCTTGTGTCCCCAAGGCCCCAGGGCGGCGGAAGGTGGTGCTTCCCCACGCAGCCCCATCCGAGGAGGGGCTCGGCCCAGACACTGTCCCCCTGTGGACGGGCACCCGGGCTCCAGCAGTCAGAAGCCGGCTTCGGCCCAAAGCTGCCCCTCGGCAGCCTTTGCTGTGTCCTGTCCGTGACCAGGGGACGGTGAGTGTGGAGGGTCAGTGGCCTGGAGCTGGGCACCAGGCACTCAGGGACGAAGGAGAGCTGCCTGGGTGGGAGCCGTCGCTGTGGCCATCAGGCCCCCGGGGGGTCAGCAGCCCCCAGAACCGCCCCCCCTCCCCGCTCAGAGGGCAGGCAGACACCAGGCCAGGGGAGCGCCAGCTGCCGGGGGCGGGGCCGGGGGCCGGGGGCGGGGACTGACCTTCTGGAAGTGGGGCATGTGCCAGAGGGCGTCCAGCCTCACGGGCGGCTTGTACTTCCTCAGCTGGCTGCTCCGGGTCTCGTAGAGCTTCCCCAGGATCACCTGTGGGCAGGGAGGTGCGGGGGCCAGGTGGCCGCCTGGCTGCCGGACAAGCCCGCGCTGCGGCCCGGGCCTCGACGAGGGTAGAGGGCCGGGGCTCCTGGGGCAGCAGCCCCGGGGCTGGCTCTTGCTCCCCACCCAACTCTCCCGCGGGCCCGATTCCGAGGCGCCTGCACCCTTGCCGTGCCTCAGCTGTGGCCCAGTGGACTTGGCGGGTGGGGGGGGGGGGACACGGGGTGGGTGTCTGGTGCGTCGTCCCTGGAACATGCGCACAGCTGCCTTGAGGTCAGGGGCGCATCCAGGCACACAGGTCACTTTCCCCGGCGGCGTGCACAGCCCTGGCAGTTAGCGGGGGGCTCCACGGAGCTCAGACGGAGGGGCAAGGCCCGAGGGACTGTGGGCACCTCCCGGGAGCAGGTGCCACCAGGGCCCGCTCTGGGACGAGGGAGGGGGGCTCCTTTGGGGAGCGGCTGAGGGGCTCAGCTCAGAGCCAGCGACGTCTCTGAGGGTGGGGTGTCCTCCCGACCTGCAGGCCCCTCGCCGATAGCAGGTGCCGGCCAGCCCGCGACAGGGTCCTGGAGCTCACGGGGGCGCTGTGGCTGGAATGGCACCCCTTCCAAAGTCCCACGGAGGAGCCCTGGCCCCACAGGTGGCTGTGTTTGCAGGCAGAGCATTCACGCAGGCGGGTTACTCGGGGTGAACGGGGCCGAGGGAGTGGGGCCCCAACGGGACAGAACTGGTGTGTTTGTGACAGGGAGACACACCGGTCGTGTCACACAGAGGAAGGGCTGGGCAGGGGCACGCCGGCAAGCCCGCCGTCCGCAGGCCATGGAGGGAGTGCTCGGGAGAAGCCGGTCCTGCCCCTGCCTCGACCTTGGACTTCTAGCCTCTTGAACTGCAAGACGAGGGATTTCTGTTGCGGGAGCCACCGGCCTGCAGGACCTGTCACGGCAGCCCTGGCCCACTGACCCAGGTCCCAGGCCTCCGACCCCGAATCGGCAGGAGCCGGGCCCCGCACTCTGCGTTTGTGGGGTGCCCCGGGGGAGCGGTAGCCGTGTAGGCAAACCTGGGCCCACGGCTGTGATCCTCGCCAAGTTCAAGATTCCTCCGGGGAGGTAGCAGGCAAACAGGGACTCTACCTAGAGTCTTAAACAGGCGGGACCTCCGTCCGAAGCATAGAAGTTCCTGGCCCCCGAAACCTGGGTCTGCCCGGGCTTTCACTGGGGTTTCGTCCGCCCGCCAAGGCGGCTTCCTCTGCGGGCAAAGCCCGAGCTTCTGGCGTCTCCCACAGCAGCTCCTCCTGAGCCCGGGCACGCGGGCAGCGCCGTGGGCAGGGGAGAGCTGGACCGAGTTTCACCAGGGATACCACCACCCCATCGAAGGCCTTTTGATTTGTTTCATTAATCAGTTGTGCCCTCTGGCCTCGGGGCCTCTCCTGGCCCGGCCCGGGGGCACCAGGGTCCCAGGTCAGACTCCCCCAGGGCACTGCCTCTGGACCCCGAGCTCCCCTGTGATCAGCAGGAGTGGGGCCTCGCCATCGGGGAAAAGCCCAGGCTCTGGGGCGGGAGCCACCCGGGTCCGGGCCTGCTCTGACGCTTTGGCCGCGAGCTCACTCTCTCGGAGCCTCGGTTTCCCCGAGACGACCCGACAAGGCGTCACCTCGTGGGGCGCTCGGGGTGGGGGGGATGGCGGGCGGGACGATGGTGCGTGTGCAGCCCCTTTCTCAGCAGGGTGCAGAGTGGAGGGACGGTGGTCGTGATGGTCATGACAACCAGAGACACCGCCGGGGCCGTGCTTCCGCGCGAAGCTCTCGGGCTCTGCGTGAGCACAGGGCCTCGCTGGTCTCGGGGCGACGGGGCTCCCTCTCCGGCCTCCCGTGCCACTGAGACGGGCAGTGCCTGGGCATGGTCGGTCCCGAGCCCCACGTCCCCTGCGTGGGCACCGCCTGCCTCTCCGAGCTCGATTTCTGTGACAGGGGAGCAGGGGTCCCTCCCATCCGCCTCCAGGGCTTTCACGAGGCGAGGAGGAGATGATGCCCTCCCCCACCCAGTGCGCTGGCCGGGGGCCGAGCCGTTCCCTCGAAACGAAGGGCGCCCCTGGAGTGCAGCACCCGTGTGCTCCAGCGCGCCTCCCCGGAGGGCGGTTTTCTCCGCACCCTCTGCCTTCTCAGCCTTTCCTTCCCAGGCCGGTGCCCCGGGGACCCCGGCCGGAGTCGTCCCCTCCTGGGGCTTAGGCAGGGGTTGTTGAATCTGACCCCCACCAAGACTCTGTCCGGCTCCAACCGTCTGCCATGCCCGGTCGGCACAGCCGCGGGCAGCCCGATGCCCGGCCACCCCCCGGGGCAAGCGTGAGCGCAGCTCGGTCCCCAGACGCAGCCCGGGCCGGCCCTTCCCGCCTGCGCCGCCCCGGTGGTCGGCCGCTCGCCGCTCGGGAGGGAGGGAGGCCGCCTTTACCTTGTGCTTCTTCTCCAGCTTGATGGCTTTCTGGGCGGCCTTCTGCTCCTGCACCCACAGCTGCTGATAGCGGTGCTGCAGCAGGTCGAAGAGGGGCGTGGAAGGCCTGCGGGGAGGGAGCCCAGACGGCCCGGAGGTCTTGGGAGGGCCCTGGCGCCTCCCCAGGCTGCCCCCCACCCCCCACCCCCCGGGGCTGCAGGCATGCCCCGTCTCCCAGGGCCGCCAGAGGCACCCCCAGGCTCAAAAGCGGGGGAGGCAGGGGGTGCCTTGTGGGAGGCATCCACAAATGCTGACGGCAGCCAGCCCAGGGCTGGGCCCGAGAAGGTGGCAAAGATGGTCCCCTTGACCAGGTTCGAGGTGGGCTCCTCGGAGCCCTCTTTTTGACTAGGGCTCATCCTTGGGCCCCAGAAGCCAGTCTTAGCGAAGCACCCGAGACGTCTGCCCCCTGTCCCTGCACGCGGGTGGAGCAGGCCCGCCTCTACCAAGAGCCCTGTAAGGCAGGTTAGCAGGTGCCCCTCCCCCCTCGGTGTCCCCTCGTAGTCACTGTCCGCCCCCCGACCCTGTGCTCTGCCCCTGGGCTACACGCCGCCCCCCCCCCACCCCGACAGTGCTGCATTCGGACTGAGGTGGCTCCTGTCCTGGGGTCGCTCTCCCCGGCCGCAGAGGCTCAGAGCAAAATCTGTCTGCACCGCCTCCGGTGTCTGCTCCTCCGGTGTCCGCTCCGGGTCTCTCCGACCGGAGGCTCCAGCTGAGGAGCACTGGCCCTGCGCAGAGCTCCATGGACATCCCCTCCCCCACCCCCGCCACCAACACTGCACAGCGGGCACTGCCACCGCCCCCTCCCGGGGACCAAGGGTGAGACCCCAGAGCAGCGGGGACGGCGCTGTGACTGAGACCTGCTCGGGGCGGGTGACCAGGGCGAGTTCTCACGGAAGAACCGGAGCTCATGCGTGCAGGCGGAGGGACAGGAGTGGGGGAGGGGACCCACGCTCTCACAGCCCCGCAGGGAACCGTGGGCGTGGGTAACCACCGTCCACGGCGGCTAGGGTGGTCACGCGGGGCGGGAGGTGGATGCGGAACTGCAATGGGGGGTGGGCCAGGCTGCCGCAGCTGGGCCAGGTCGTCAGTGTTTCTTACTGTGGTAAAATACACGTAACACACAATGTACTCATGATCAGCGTCACTGAGGGTGACAAACGGACCGCGGAAGTGACGCGATGGGAGGCACACAGCGCCGCCCACCAGATAAATACCTGGGGGGGCGGGGGGGATACCCCGAGTGGGCCCGCGGGCCAACGCGCCGCCCAAGCATCTCAGGAGCCGGGTTCAGAAGAGCGAAAGAAACAAGCGAAATTAACTTCACTGATGTACCTCCCAGACTGTCACGTCAACACGGAGTCCCTTTAAAATATGACGACATTCAAGCCATCCAGCTTTTACATCGGAGTTTGCATTGGTTCAAAGTAAATGCATGAGATGGAGTTGCCAGCTCCTCGGTGGCACGACCCCCATTCCCGACGCATGGGGGAGCCGCCGGTGGCCAGCGCTGCCGCAGGGGACCCGGGGTGGGGGAAGGAGGCGGGCGGTGGGGGAGGGCCGCCCAAGGACGCTGCGGGCCAAGTCCGGAGTGTGGGGCACTCCGGTAAAGGATCCACGAAAAGGACCTCGGGATGGGGTAGGTAACTATGTAAACGCCCTTAGGGTAGGCCCTAAGTCCGCCGACAGGTGTTCTGGCAAGGGACACCACGGGAAGAGGGTGCGGGGAAGTCGGGGCAGAGGTCCGAGTGGGGCTGTCACCGTGGCGGCGGCGTGCCTGGGCCCCGGGCGCCGGAAGGGAAGAGTCAGGAAGAGTGTCCCCTCGAGCCTCCTCCAGCGGGAGCGTGGCCCTGCCGGCACCTGGATTTTGAACTTCCGGCCTCCGGAACTGGGAGAGAACACCTTCCTGCTGTTTCCAGCCGCCCAGCGTTGGCGGGTTGTTACGGCAGACCCAGGAAGTGAACATGCAGGGGTTCCTCGGCCCACACTTTGGGAAACACTGGGAGACACCGCTGTGCAGATGGGTGCCTCTCAGAGAGGGGCCGGGCCTGGCAATCACAGGGCCCTTTGCAGCTGCCGGCGCCACAGGGCGGCGTTTGGCAAGCTCTCCTGTGTGCACAGGCCTGGGGGGGGTGTGCAGTGGGAGGGGGAACCTTGCTAGAGTCACGTTCTGTGTCCCCGCGTCCAGGGGCGCCGGGTCCAGGAACCACCCTCCAGGCCTCAGAGGTCGTCCGCCCCGACACCCTTAGGCACCCGCTCCCCACCTCCCCCCCGGAGGTAACAGGAAGGTGCAGACGGCATGTCTCAGCAGGTGGGCACAGGCATTTTGTCTGGGGGGAGGGTCCACCCTTTCAGGGGTGTGTGGGCCCCAGGAGAAGTTGCGAGCCTCTGACCGTCCCCCATGACCTTATTTCACAGACAGGGGACGAGGAGATAGGGTGCTGAGAAGAGGTGTGACCCCAAGGCCGTGCCGCTGGGACCGGAGATCAAGCCCTGGGCCTCACACACGGTGGCCTTCAGAGTCTGCACGGTGCAGACCCTCGTGGGGACCGGGGGACCCTCGTGGGGACCGGGGGACCCGGGCCTCTGTCTGGGGGGCAGGTTCGGCGGCTCCGACTTGCCCCTGTGCTCAGAGGTCTCCCCACCGAGCAGCCCGCGGCAGGTCACAACGGGGCTCCCTGCTCACCCGCCCCTCCACTCCGTGGTGACTTTTATTACTGAATTATTGCGCACCCCGTGCCTCTGAGCAGCCTGATTCACAGCCGCGCTTCCCAATGACGCCGGATGCGTCACCTGGCCACGTTCACCCCCAGAGGCCGTGGCGACAGAGGGGCTGTCTTCCCGGCAGCCCCCACGGCACGCGTCAGGGCCCACCTCCCCCGCCGACCCTCCCCACCCCCGCAGCCCTGCCAGGGGCCGTGGTCCTGCTCCGGCCAGCGCTGCTGCTCGCCTGGGAAGAGGCCGGGTGGCGCTCCGAGCCGGCGGGTAGCTGACCAGCCAGACGTGGGTTCTAATGAGTTAGAGGATGTTAGTGGATGGACAAACAGACGGCATCTCAGCGGAGGAAGGACGGTCGTCCAGGAGGTGGTGCCGGAACGGGCCAGCCAACTCGCGGCCCCGGTCCCACGCGTCATACAAGGAGGAGCTCACAACGGATCATGGGTTACGGGGTGACACGTGGAACTGAGAAACCTTAAACCAAACGAAGGAGAAAGTCCTTGGGACCTGGGGGTGGGCCAGCAGACAAGTGCTGGGCCTTGACACCAAAAGCACGATCCACAAAGAGAAAAAAAAAACAAATTGGACTTCCTCAAAACTGAGGGCTTTCGCTCCGTGAAAGAGGGTCTCAGGGTGAACACGCAGACCACGGACCGGGAGAGAACATCTGCCAGCCCGCATCTGGCAAAGGACTCCGTGGAGAAGGTGTGAGGGCTCTCACGTCTCAGCAGAGACGAACGCGGTTCAGCTAGAGAGTGGTGGGGTGGGGACGGGGAAGGTCGTGACTCACCACTCCTGCCTGCCTCCCCTGTCCTTGGGATGAGACGTCTAGAGCCAGAATCTACATCCCTGTTTCATGGATGAGAAGTCGGAGGCCCAGAGAAGTGTGGTGTCTTGCCCGAGACCACACAGCCGGCGAGAGACATGTTGCGTTTTCACGGGGAGCCTGTGGGCTTGCTGTCCGCCCTGCAGCCTGTCTCCCCGCCCCACCCAGCAGTTCTGAGGGCTGGGTGCCGCTGCAGGGGTGACCGCTGGGACCCAGAGGGGGGACGGGTCCTGAGCACAGGTGTGGGGTGAGCCAAGTCCTCTCTCAGCCTTTTTTTCCTTTATTTTTATTGTTGACGCTATAACAGAGGTCCTCATTCCCCGCACCCCCATCTGCCCACCTCCACACAGCCCCCCCCCTCCTTCAGGCTGTCCCCACACTGCTGTCTGTGTCCAGGGTGATGCATGCAGGTTCTTTGGCTGAGCCCTTCCCCTTCTCTCATCCAGGCCCCGCCCCTCCCCTCTGACCACTGCCAGTCTCTTCCCTGTGTCCACGCCTGTGTCTCTTTGTTCTGTCCGGCTTTTTTTGTCATTAGACGCCACATAGAAGTGAGATCACGTGGCATTCGTCTTCCTCCGACTGGCTTCTTTCCCTTAGCTTGAGAATCCCCGTGGTCCTTTTTCACAGCTGTGTAGTATTCCACTGTGTAAATGTACCACGGCACTTCTTATCCGCGTGCCCAGCGATCCCACTGCTGGGGATATATCCTAAGAATCCTGAGACATGAATCGAAGGAATCCACGCACCCCTGTGCTCACAGCAGTGTTAGCCACAATGGCCGAGGTCTGGAGCCGCCCAAGTGCCCGCTCCAGAGCCTTTTGCCGGGTCGCTGGGGATGAGCAGGAGGTGGTCCGGAGGGGAAGGAACCGGGGCTCGCAGGACGGGCATCAGCATGAACAGAGGAGGGGACCAGGCCGGGCGAGCACCGTCCCTCCTGGCCCCAGACCGGCCCGCTGGGCGCTGGGGAGCGGCGGCGAGTCAAACAGGCGCCCTGTTTTAATGAGCACTTACTACACCGAGCCCAGACTGAGCTTCAGCGACTGTCCCGGCGACCCCTCGTGACCCTGAAGGTGAGGATGGACATACCCGCTTTCAGACGGGGACACTGGTGCTCAGAGACACTCAGCCACTGGCCGGAGGTTTGCTCACAGGCCGTGAGCAGCCCCGGGGGGACAGAGCCAGGCTGCAAACCCAGGGTCCCCTGCTCCCTGACCCTGTCGGCTGTGGGTCAGGACCCCAAAGAGGGTCTGCACGGTCCTGCCCCGCCCCGTCCAGGTGGCCTGGCCGGGTGGCCTGGCCGCTGGTGCTGCTCTGTGCCTGGCAGGTGGGTGAAACTGCACCTTTCCACAACGTGCTTCTCCGGACCGCTCCGACCGTGCTCCCTCCACACAAGACGCCGATTCGCCCTGGGCCCCCCATCCCATCCCATCCCGTCCCGTCCCGGGGGTCTCACCCTCCCACACTAGGGTTTCCTCCGTTTCTGAGCGGCCCCCGTCGGGGATGGCGGGGCTGCCGCCGAGGGCTTC